ACAAAGTACTATTCCAACAATTCTAACCTAAAATATATATTCTTCTTTTACACTCAATTAAGCTCTTTGTTGCTCCTCTAGTATCTGCTACCATTCAAAATCAGTGGCTCCAGTTCATGACAACAAATCCACTTCAATGTACAACTCTTCGAATTTCATATTTAGCATATAATCAGATAAAACACTTTACAAATTTACAGTGTTCATATCTTTGTGTTACTGTTTACAGAATCTAATAGAAAACTCATGAGTGTCCTGAGAGGAATTTCTACCCATAAAGTCAAAACACAGTTTTGAAAAGACGTACCAGTGTTTTTACCACATGATCAATTATAATTTGTGGGAATTATACAGAGAGCAAAAAAGGGAATAATAACAAAAAGAGCAACTAACAAGTAACCCTCTAAATTACATTTGACAACTTCAATAATCACTGGTAAATTAATGCACTGTGTCTTCTCACAGTCCACTTTATAGTTCTGTAAACATATTTCACAGATCAAATCTTACATAAGAAGGTACAATGTCACAATTAATGGGGATTTGCATTCTACTGGCAATCACTTCTGTATTACCTTCAGTATGTCAAATAATTTCCACTCTGAGAAACAGACAACAGGGCCTCCATTATGTATTACACACTGTGTGCTAATTATAAGAAAGCAAAGCCCTAACAAAACAAGTACAGCCACTATATACATCCCTCAATGCCATCAGTTAACAATAGGTTCAACAACAAAACTTAATAATGAGTTTTGTCACAACTGTTTGTCTGAAATAGTAATATCATTTTCAAAATAAAATGAATTTTAAAATATATTTTAAGGGTAAATCATAAATAATTTGTTCTGCTTCATGATAGACTGACAAAAATTAGTGTCATTGAACAAAGAAATTATATATTCTAAATTCTGTACATATTTTTCATAAATGTGTAAGATTTCTAACTTACAAAGAAAGTCTTTAGTATGATATTTAATATGTGCAGACATAAGGGAAATTCTGAATAGAGGTAAGCAATTTGGGAGTTAAATTAAGTGTAAAAGTTCCCCCATGATTAAATACCACATAATGTGGGTATGCAGGGACTTGCCAGGCAGCAGCATTAGAACTGTGGCTAGTCATTTTTCCTCTTCAGACAGTTTAATGTGTATCTGTGGACATAATAATTCTATAGGTAGTTCTGATATCTCTGCTAGAGACGTGATTTATCTGTTCAAATTCATCAACTTAACTGTCAGTTTCCCTCATTTATTACTTGATATAATAAGGCCATTCCAATGCTCAGGTGGTTAGCTGCCAACTATACATTGCAGAGGCCCAGGTTCAAACCCAGGCTAATCCATATGGGATTTGTGGTTAACAAAATTTCACTGAAGCAGATTTTTCTCCAAATGCTTCAGTCCTTCCCTGCCAATTTAATTCCAGTAATTCTCCATTCTTTCACCTACCATCTGGGGCTAGTATGACAAAATAATTTGGTGAGCTTAGTACCAAAGGACTCAGGTTCAGCCCAGCCCAAGAATATGAAAATCTTAAACAAGAGTATACATCCATTGTTTTGATCTTACCATTGCAAACGGCCGCTATCTGCACGTAGTGGAAATAATGTAAATGCCTCCTCAAATGTAATGATTTTCTCATTTCCCAGAAGCCTGAGATCTATTTGTAACAGATCTGCTGTTTGTATTTTGGTTAGAACATATCTGAATATGAGGGAAAGTTTCCATTATTAACAGACATTTGGCTAGAGCTGTAGCTGTTTTGAGAGAACTATGTTTTTCATTACAATATTTATACAGATTCTAATTTAAATCTGGTTCACTGTAATTAAACATTCATTATTATTGCACTAACTTGCCTAAGATATTACACTACAGAATTAAAGGAATAAAGACACAGTTATTAATACAACTGGAGGAAGAGGAGTAGTGCTCAGCAATGATTTGTATGAAATAATGGCCACTTTCTAAATAGTAAACTGAAGCTTAGGTCTAACCAAAAAGAAAAGAAGAAAAACGGAAGACTTTGTCACAAATTTGTTCTACTACTGAGATTTCATATTTACATTATGTTAGTAAACATAGTTATATCAATCCTATAAAATAATCGTTCAATATACTACCATTTTAAAACACTGGTTTTAAGAATTAATCTTTATGATGCTTGCTTCTTTGTTGTCAGATGCTTCATAATGCCTTGAAACTCAAAATCTATTAAAATTTTAACATAACAACTTGCAATGTTATGTTTCAGTATATTTAATAGTAGGTAGTACATGAATCTACATGGTAAACTATGTAGTGACTAAAAATCATTACTACTCTGTTTTATAGAGAATGGGACTGATAACTTTAAACAATAGTTCAAAAGTGAAGGATTTATCAAGAATGATAAATTTCAAGAAGGAATTCTCACAGTAGCAGCTCCAATACAGAATATTAAATTCTTATATGTGTCAAACTTACTTCTCAAAATATACGGAACTCTCTTAACTGCATGAACACATAATGCAATTTTGGCCATGCGCAAATAGCAGTGGTAATAGTCCATGTCTTAAGGACAAAAGTATAGGGATTATATTTTGAAGTTTAAAAAACCTTATGTTCTATCACTCAGATTCTATTATTGCTGAAATTAGGCAGCCTACAGTAAAATACACAGGTGCACTGTTTCTTTACATCTCTCATCATGTACAGTGAAATCATCAATACACATTTACATCTTAATATCACTTAATTTCTGCTAAAAATGATTTACAGAACAATTACAGACCTAGATACACCTCATTGCAGTAATGACAGGGTTATAATTCTCTATATTCCACTGTTCTCTTCATTTGTCACTGTGGGAAATGTGTAACTGAGAGAAGTGTAAGAAATTTAAGAAAAGGTGTTTACATATTTAGTTATACAATTTCCAGTTCTCATGAGCATTATCATGTTCATCGTTATCATGAATACAATTTTTATATTAATGTTATTAAAATATCATTATGTACATATCATTTTGCAAAGAATATAAATAATTATGTTGTGCTCGATACAAAAATAGAACTTCAAAAACTGTAGGAATTGTGTGATATTTAGTGATTGTAAGTTACTAATTTTTCAGTATATAAATATATATTGATGGATAACAACACGACCAAACAAAGAAAATAATATTTACTTTAATAATCTTATGGTGATGAATGTAAGCTGAACCTGTATCATAATAAAAAGCTGGCAAAGACACAGTGCACCTGAATGTAAGATAATTCTATGCATAAAATATGAGGTGACTGGAAATTAAGTGCTTATTCTCGTATAAGAGTTGCACACATAAAGTATCAATCAACATTTTCTTTCTTTATATTTATGTGCTAATTAAATTAAATCAAATATTTTAGTTGTAATATTTCTAGCTGGTAAAATTCTTCATGTGCATGTATTGCACCAAAATTCCTCTTCAGGTCTGAGAGATTTTAAAGTGGTGGTAAATGTGTGGCAAAATTGTAATGTAAAATGCTACAAAATAGGCAAGAAACCAACTGCATAACTACTGTTGGATCATGTATTTCACATCCGATATTCCTCTTGTGAAATATATTTTGTTTCGAAATTTGTGGAGGGTTATAAGTTCACATAGCAATGCTGGGCTATATAAACAATTCCATTAATTAGGAACTAAAAATGACGATATATATGTATATGTTGTAAATGTGTTGAGCACTGTATCAGTTTTCTAACAGGCATTTAACTTGCAATCACCATGTTTATAAAATATTGCACCCCATCGGCTAGCAAGTTGCCAGCAAAAAGACATATATAGCAGGGTATTTTTACTTCAGTATATAAACATTTACAACAAATAATATGAAGAAAGCAGTCTTCTGGGATGTGGCACCGTGTAGATGTGGTGTTAACCGACGTTTGAGAGGAACGTATCGCCTCCAACACCAGTCTGCTTGTACCGGTTCTCATGGTCTCTTCGCTTGTGGATTTTCTTATTTTTCCTTCTACCCTGAAGATGGAGGCGATACGTTCGTCTGAAACGTCGGTTGACACCACATCTACATGGTGCCACATCCCAGAAGACTGCTTTCTTCAACAAATAATATGTTCGTATAAGACAAATATTGGTGTCCATGAATAGAGAATGGAAACATCCAAAGATTTATACCCATCATTATGGTATGGGAGCTTTCTGTTTTTACACAAGGCTTATAATAAAAATAATTTTTCATCTCTGTAATTGCCTTTAAATAATAACAAAATAGAAATACTATTCTTCCTTCACTGAAATATATTTAAGGTGAAAATTGAGACAAAACACAAATCAATCTGAAGATAGAATTTATGACTGAAATAACTTTATAAAATACGTGAACAAATATTACAACAATTGCAAATTATGAAAGTTATTTGTTGGTTACCAAATAACATAGTCCTGTTGCATTTTTATCAACAAAACATGTTAACAAATTCAACAACATTATTGTCTATCTATCAACAATTATCCCATCATTCATATTAACATTAATCATATATATATAATAACTCATAATATGTGTTCTATACCTTTGTTTTCTCATTGATTTTTATGTTAATAAAGTCGTACATTTTATTATTAAAATTATACTTATTTCATGTATGAAATATTATAAATGAGTAATGTATTTTCAGTGCATACGTGATAGTTCAGCCTGTGATTGCATGTATATAATATTGCAATTCTATAAAAACAGCATCATATAAGTGCTGCAAGATTTGAAATAATATAAAAGATCATTCAGTGGGGAAGGATTCGTGTCAGTAGGGTAGGGAAATTTGTCAATATAAATGGGAGAGGGAGACTTTTTCATCATTATTAGTTTCATACTCTTTAAAATGGCGGTTGTGTCATATAATACATAATAATACCTTGTAATATTTGTTATTAGTATGATGCATAATGCTGAACAAGTAACACAGATGCTGTTGATTTACTTCTTAGATTTCTCTCACATTTGCATTCTGTTTTCTTCTTCTCCCACAGTCCTGCTGCCTGCTTTTGTTAGAGTTGGAGTTATCTCCACTCCAGGTACTTCATTTCAAGACAATCTCATTCTTCCAACAGCTTAAGTCTTCTGCTTTATCTTTATTTACCTTCTGTAATTGCTTCAAATTAGAAGACGACTAATTCTTTGATGTAAGAATTGTTACAAATTCTGAAACAAAGTTATATATAATGATATTAACAGAATTTTTTAGGAACACAAATATGATATTTTAAAAAATACCCACAGTGTGTACACTAATGGAGTACTGAGCTCAGTACATTACTACTTGGAATGTCAGAAGTATGTATAGGGCAGGTTCACTCAGGGCAGTGGCGGAAGAAGCATAAAAATATAAGTTAGATTTAGTGCGAATACAGGAGATCAGATTGGACAGAGAAGACATTGAACCAGCAGACGAATATGCGTTTTTCCATTGAAATGGGAATGAGAGTCATGAATTAGGTTCAGGTTTTTTTCATACAAAGGAGAGACATGTCAGCAGTTAAGAGGGTAGAGTTTGTTAGTGACAGGATGTTGTACATAATACTAAGAAGTCGCTGATGTGATATCATCGTTCTGAACGTTCATGACAGAACAGAGGACAAAACTGATAATATGAAGGGCAGGTTCTACAAAGAACTAGAACATGTATTCAGTAAATTCCCTAAATATCATATGAAAATTTTGTTAGGAGATTTCAATGCCACAGTAAGTAAAGAAGATATTTTCTAACCAACAATTGGGAATGAAAGTTTACATGAAATTAGTAATGATAAGGGAGTTATCTTGTATTGGTACAGGTGTCTGGAGAAAGGGACTAGCTCTATCGATTGGGCTTGACTAAGTAGGTTTTACCTGAAGACGGAGACAGAATCCAATCTCCAAAACGTTGTGTTTTTAAATGAAACAGGACAATGGCTAATGTCCAGAAGCATAACGCCTGAAATTATATTCTCATACGGTTGTTGTCACAGTGAGTGAATTTTGGGGCAATTGTATAGAGTTCCTCAGTCATTCAGGATGGATTTAGGGATAGTTCCTGAAAATAGGTAGAAAACAATTTCCTTCTGATCTACCATATACTCATTCATTCTAACAAAGGATAAGCAAAAGAAAAAATGATCCTTGGATGGAAGAAAGAAATAATTTCTAATAAATACAGGAGTTTGAACTTACTTTGTAAGATCAGCATTTGAGTTTACATAACAACATTGTATAAAGAGAACAAGAGACAGACAATTTAAATAGAAATTGAGCATGTAATATCTGTCGTAGTGTATCCATAGAAAATGCTCCATGGTCTGCTTTGCCTCTGCATTATTACAAATGTAAGTGATGTGAAGAACAGAGAGACCAAGAAGATTCCAACATCCACAGAAAGGAGAAGGAAATAGTGCTGAGACAGTTTGCTTATGAGATTTGATATTTTGGGCCTTATCAAGAGGCTTGTAAGATTTGAGGTTTACACAGCGGTGACTATGAAGAAAGCAGTCTCCTGGGATGTGGCGCCATGTAGATATTGTGTTAACCGACGTTTCGGAGGAACATGCTGCCTGCTCACACTGGTTTGCTCGTGGATTTCTTCTTTTTCTTTTTCTTCTACCTTGAAGATGGAGGCGATACGTTCCTCCGAAACGTCGGCTAACACAATATCTACACGGCGCCACATCCCGGAGGACTGTTTTCTTCATCAAGAGTCTTGTTCCTTCTTTTAAATGAGATGCAGTGTCTGGACACATTGTCAGACACAAAGATGATGGTTAAAGTAACGGCAAAAAATACAATACACCTCTAAGAGAATCATTCAGAAATAGCTTTATTTTCCAAAAATAAATGCTAGGATTACCCCTTTTCACACATTAACCTACTTTCTTTTTTTTCCCCCCTTGTCACTACAGCCCCATTGGGCCTAGGCCTACCTCCATGAACTCCGTTCACACATTAACCTACAACGAAGTCTAATTATTAAAAAAAAATGCTTTATATTAATACTTTCTCTTGTTACGTAAGTTTTCTGTTGTTGAGTGGCGTCCATCATACCTTCATAATTGACCATTCCATCTCCATCTAGGTCTGCTTCCCGGATCATGTCATCTACTTCCTCATCTGACAGTTTCTCACCCAGATTGGTCATCACGTGGCGAAGCTCCGTTGACGAGATCAATCCGTCATTGTTCTTGTCGAATACCCTACAATTAACACAGTCAGTGCATTACGATTCCTAGTAAATACATTTGAGAGCAGATTGTGATTTCTGTGAATGGGTTTTCAATGGTTCAACAGTGATATCTGTATCTAACATTTCAGAATTTCACGGAAGTGCAATACTAATATGGCTCGTGTGTCTGGGAGATAGGCTGTATCACCGATGTTTCACAGACTTTAGTGATTCATCCTCAAGGTGAACTGGCTTCCAAATTAAACTTTATTGATTGCATGACGTTACAGCTGTCAACACAACAAATAAAAGGGAAATATCTTCAATGAAGACAACAGATGTTTGTATATATATCTTATTTACTTAAAGTAATCGTAAATGGCGTTACATGTTTCGACCTATAATTCAGGTCATCATCAAGCACCTCTTTTATAATCTATAACTCAAGTAATTAAAATTAATAATCATGATATGGATCCATACTTATGTAACATATGTCTATTGTTTCAAGCGATTATATATTTATAAGGTGAGCATAGATCTACGTGTATATACTAATATTCTAATAAAATTCATTACTAGAAGTTAAGGATTTAAAGAATATAAAGGTATAAAAATTTAAAAGTATAGATGTACAGATTCCGCAATATATTTGAATGTTGGCTACTTGTTGTGTTTAGATATTATGCAAAACCCTCCACGGTCGCGTGTTGATGTGCTGCATGCTGTCTTGTGGTTCTTATTTACTAATTTTTGTGTGAATAATCTGATCGTAATTTCTTGTTTCTTCCTATGGTTAGTTTGGATTGACGTGGACGTTTGGGTGTTTTGAGATGTGGTGTTATTTGTATAGTTGCACAAACCCATCCATTCTCCCCCGAATGTTATCATTGTTCTTAGTTGTGTAGTGTTTTACAGTAAGACGGAAAGAGTTATAATCAATTGCAGTTCCGCCTTGTGCATGTTCAATGAATCGACTCACCGAGCTAAACCCACGTCTAAAGTCATTGATACACGCGACAATATGATTAGCACGTATATCCGTGACTCTAGCGCTGCATGAACGTAATATATTTCCTTATACACATTCACTTCCGTCTTAAATGCAACTTTACTTACAATTACTTCTTTACTTAAAAATTTTGGCCGCGCCATAGCTCAAGTGGTTAGTCGCTGGCTTCCCACCGCGGCGGCCCGTGTTCGATCCCGGGTCAGGTCAAGTGGGATTTGTGGTGGACAAAGTGGCGCTGGGGCAGGTTTCCTCCGAGTACTTCGGTTTCCCCTGCCAATCTTCATTCTACCAATGCCTCCACAATCACCCTCATCTATCATTTGGGGCTGGTACAATAGGCCAGAAATAGCCGCAGTACAAGGGACTTAGTTCCACCACATTAGCATTACAAAAATTACTTAAAAATAAAAATTAAACTTTTAGAATAAAATCAATAATTGCTATATGTTTCGGCCGTACTCGACCATCCTCAGACAACTGTAAAATTTTTAAAATACATAGGTTGGATAAAAAGTAGTGACAACACTTCTATAGTTCTGAAACGACTTTATTACCTGAGGTAAACACACTTACATTCCTTCAATATAATCGCCCCCCATGTGCACCACCTTCTGCCAAATTTTTGGGAGGCGTCGTACACCATCAGGGCATCCACTTCTGCTGATGTCCAGCAGTGACCGCCCTACTGCACGAATAATCTCCTCTCTTGTGTTGTAAAATGTCCCTCGCAGTGGTTCTTTCATTTTGTCAAAGAGATCATAATCGCACGGACTCATATCGGGTGAGTATGACGGATGTTGCAGTATCTCCCATCGCCAGAGGCGAAGGAGATCCTTGACAGCGTCAGCAGTATGAACCCTTGCATTGTCATGAAGGATGATGGGGTTCGTTGCCCACAAGTGTCGTCGCTTTCTCCTGAGTGCTGGACGAAGATGACTGCGCAGGAAATTGCAGTAGTAGGCAGCGTTTACTGTCTGTCGTTGAGGTACAGTGTGGTGCAGTATCACTCCATCAGTGTCATATGCCACAATGAACATCGCCTTCACATTATTCTGTGTAGGGCGCACTTTCTTTGGACGAGGAGAGCCATGATGCTTCCATTCATTTGAATGTTAGGATGCTTGAACTGGGCTCCTGCACTTCAAGACGATGCACAATGCAACTTAATGAAACACAACCACAGCCACTCACTGCACTACTTCAACTGAACTTCTGCTATCAGCTACAGACGACGCTAGTGCCACCTGACGCACATCTTTCATGTTACAGCAGTGTTGCCACTACCTTTTATCTAACCCTTGTAGCTACATTGTAATTTTAATGTAACTAAGATGAATTATTTCTTAAGTTAAAATACTAGTATTTCAATGTTTTCATTTTTCGTCATCCGCTCATTAAAAACATTTGTTTGTGAACACCACTCGTTACGTTTTCATGCGCTGCCTTCCTCCTGCGGCGTCAGTGTTTTACGTGTTATTTTGTGTAGCTTGTATGGATATCGGTGTGGTGTTATTATCTTTTTCATGTTCCCCATTGGTATGCATGTCTCTACGCTGTTGGTTTAGTTGATTACGTGATTATTATTATTAATATGTGTTTGTCTATAATGTAATTACTTTTATCTACACTGTGCTCTGTCTGTAATTGGCCTTGCGGCTGTTGACTCGGCACATAAATAATAATGAAGAACTGAATTGAATTATTATTATTATAAAAAATGATGACTTTAATTATTATTGGCAACTTAGATTCGTGTTAATGAAATAATAATAATAATTATAATTATAATAATTATATAATATATACTATAATATAATAATATATTATTATTATTATTATTATTATTATTATTATTATTAAGTGGGTGTATTGGACTTCGTTCTACGGCAGCGCAAATGGGTAATTTATAGTAATGCACAGTTGCAGATCTCACGAGCCTAACAAATGCTTAAGAATTACTCATTGTACGATAACAGTTTTTTTATTGCGAAGATGCTGTCACGTGGAAAAGTCGGTCGCTCCTCCGGTTAAATCTGGCCACCTCAAAACGCAAGTCTGCTTCAAGGCTACGCTGTCTAGAAACCACAGTGTGGTCATACACGTGTCTTGAGTGAGCTATCCGACTCGTCGGGTCCAAATGTCNCAAGCAGGAGGCGAAATATTACGTTCTAAGATCCACAATCTATTTACCTCTATTTGGCATAAGAAAAAATTGCCTGATCAGTGGAAGGGCTCTATTACTGTACCAGTTCACAAGAAGGGTGATAAAACTGACTGTAGTAATTATCGGGGGATATCTATGCTATCAATTACATATAAAATTTCGTCCAATATTCTTCTTTCAAGATTAAGTCCATATATAGATGCAATTATTGGGGATCATCAGTGTGGGTTTCGACGTAACAGATCAACTACAGATCAGATCTTTGCATTCGTCAGATATAGGAGAAAAAAATGGGAGTACCATAAGACAGTACATCAGCTATTCATAGACTTCAAGAAGCCTATGATTCAGTTAGGAGGGAAGTATTATACAATATTCCGATAGAGTTTGGGATACCCATGAAACTAGTTAGGTTGATTAAAATGTGTTTAAACGAAACGTATAGTAAAGTCCGTGTAGGTAAACATTTGTCTGATAAATTTCCTATCCAGAATG